AACATACTGTTCGAGCTTATTGCTCGTACTATGTAGCAGCTTTCGTCAAGCGTTCCTCCTGTCTTGACAGTAGGTGCGCAAATCTGACAATATTACTATTAAGAGATAAATATAACATAATATTTAGCTAACGTACCTAACAGGTTGGCTAGCTACTTTTGCCAAGTCCCTACTAAAACCGCCCTATTCTAGTGTAAAACAGCCCACTTTAACTCTGTATAGAGTAATATAACATAAGATATTATTTAGAGTCTACTTTTACTACTTGCTTACACGTATGCAAGTTATGCCTAGTCTAATTGCACTGCCTGCATCGCCTTTAACTTAGCTCACCTCCTTTAGCGCGCACCTGTGTCTTAAGCTTCTTCCTATTACTACGCGCTCTAAACTCCTTTAGAGCAGTTAGACAAGCTCTATTCTTAACTATTAAGGTCTTTTTTTACCTAAATTTACTTTTTTTTTATGTAATCTATGTTACATAGCAGCCTTATTTGCTGCTTAAAGCTTTATAATCTTCTTTTACACTAACACTAGCTTATGCGCAATAATTCCTGCCCCTTTTAAGACCTTTTTAAAAGCCTTTACTATAGACATTAGTAAGCTATCTACAAGGCATTAGAAGTCTCCTATCCAGGTAGGAGGGTGCGATCACTAAAGCTGTTGCGCCATTTGCCTTACGTATTGTGGGCGAGCTATGTGAGTGTAAAAGGCATGTATTGAATCTATGGAGAAAGACCTGCCTATCTACGTGGGCGCTAGTCCCGAATAGGCGCACAATAGGTCGTCACTAAGAGGCAGGGACCTCAGGTCACCGACACGTATGCGGCACAGTCAACGCCGCTCTTAGACCTTAAAAGTGGCTATTATAAGCTCGGCTTCTCTAAGCGCTTGCTGTGGCGTAGTAACACTGAAACGGGACTTAGAGCGCGTACTGTAACTGCTCGAACGTTTGAGTTAAGGGCGGTTCTAACAGCACAACGACTGCCTATCAATTAGGAGCACTTCTTGCGGCACAGCATCATAGTCTGAGTCAACGGCGGCTAAACCAGCGGGTTGGCGATGCTTCTTATGGCACACCAGAAGCTTGTCAATCGACAGCGCTTTGGTGTGGCAGTGCTGACATTCACAATATAAAAGGAGGAATATTGCCAGCAATACTTCTTTTCTCTAGCATATCAATCCCACCCAGGACCGCATATATCTCAGGACTCAAAAGCCTATCAGATTACCCATTTTCCCATTCAAATTCGCGTTCTCTTCCAACGCTCTCAACCGAACGAAACGAAACGAAACGTAGTAATCGACGGACGTCAACGTCTCACTTTCCTGCTACGTTTGTACGGCCTGGGCGACTTAGCTGTCTGTTTTGCTGCTAAACTAAAACACACTAAAATCTTTATACTTTTTAACATTTTGTCTTACTTGCTGCTGTTAACATTTTATAGTATAGTAACTAGCTGCTTTTAGATAAGGTTTATAAGCTTAATTAAGTTGCTCTTTATAACCTAATAACATAGCTAATTCTTCTGCAATTAAAGCGCCTTAATAGTAGCCCTAGAGAGAGAACCTTTATTAATTATAACTGTACGCTGGCCTCTACTAAAGGCTCTCTCGCAGTCGCAGCTAGTAGAGGGTATAGTAAGGAAGTTAAGAGCAATTTTAAACAGCATAGAATACTATTTTTAACCTACTTTAAGCTACTAAGTAAGAGGGCTAGCTTATAAAAAATAGCTATCTCTTACCTTAGCGTCTTAAAGGTCTTCTATATAAGTGTTAAAGTATTACTATAACTTTATTATTTTCTAAGCTTTCTTATAACTCTAGGCCTTAGTAAAAAGAGAAGTGTTAACTATAAAAGCTTTTTAGTAATAAGAGTTATAAAAGCTTATTACTAAAAGCTTTTGCTAAAAAAGATCTATATTAACTTCTTTATCTTTTTTAGCATTAATATAACGCTAGAAAATAACCTTTATTAAGGTCTCTGCCTTCTAGTACTAGGATTAGTAATAACGCTAGTAGTCTTTAAACTAGAGTATATAAAGTTATAAGTTAAGTATAGTAGTAATTACTAAGTAAAAGATAAAAAGATTAACAACTATTTTCTAGAAATATATATTAATTTTTTTAAGTCTAAAGAAGACACTGTTTTTAAAGTAACTGTTATTAAGCTTAAAGGAAAGTTTCTTCTTTATTTACAATAGCTTATTATACAGCACTTGCATGTTAATAATAGACATCTATAGAGAACTATGCTTACTGTTGCCCTCTAGCTGTTTTATTATTTAATAAAAGACCTTAAAAAACTTAGTAAGGTGTTTAACCTCTTTTTAGTTTTTTTTACTAATAATCTCTTAAAAAGCTGCGTTACTAGGTATATTAGAGTCCTTAGTGTTGTTATCTATGCTGCGCTACTTCTAGATAAACTTAGTAATTAGATCCTTAAGCTCTAGGCACTATATAAGCATTAGATATACAGAATGCTAGCAGACGCTGCTATCTTGTATTAAATTAAGTGTGCTAAAGCTCTAAAGCTTATCTTCTTCCCTTAAAGATAATTATATAGCTATAAAGGCCTCTTAGTGTTTATGTAATAAGAGAATAGCATTAATAAAGTTATATAGCTTACTAACAACTTTATGTTTATAATAAAGCTTAAACTAATCTTAGAGAGCTGCGTTTATAAGAGTAGCTTTAAATTATAATAATCCTTTACTATAGATAACTGCCTTTAGCACTAATTAAATTATGTAGCTTATACAGCATATGTAGTGCTCTTTATTAAGGTTAACTCTAAGATATTTAGCTAGAGCGTTAATAGTAGAGTTGTTATTATTAGACATGTTATTAGTAATAAAATAACTAAATTTTAACATAATTTTATAATCCTAAATAATTTTAAAGATAGCCTGCGCTTAGTTAGCTTTTATATAGTTACTATAAAAGTTATAGAAGCTAATAAGTAAGTCTTATTATTAATAATTAACATTTATAAAGTAAAAGTTAGTTATTATTTGTTGTTAGTTTTCTAAGCTAAAACGCTAAAATAGCCCCTTTAAAGTTTTGCTAAACTTACTAAGAAAGTAAGCTACTACTTTAAGAAAAAAAAGGTAGTTTAGTAAAGTCTATATATTAACACTTAACGCTACTTTTAACTTAGCTAATTTTAATATTATTTAAATCTTCTCCTTCTAGCGTGTTAACTTTTACTTTATATATAATAATATTATTACATCTAAGCTTAGGATAGCAGCAAGAAGATTTAGTTAGTTCTAAGTAAAAAAGCCTTAAAGTTTAGCTAAAAATGCTGTTATAAATAATATATTATAAAGTATAACCTAGTCTACTAACAACCTTTGCAATAACCTTTTTTGCTAGGGATTGTAAGAAGCAACTTAGGCTAAGCCTGCTACTATAGCAGCTGTTGCTGCCTAAGGATTAAGTAAAGCATAAAAAGAATTAGGTAAGAAACTTTTATTACTACTAATATTAATTCTATGCTTTTTTTTAAAATAGTGGCTAATATAGCTATAGCTGTTAACTATTTTAGTAGCAGTGTAATTACCTCTGCAATAGCAGAGTTAGCAGAGCTAGAGCTTTACCCTTAAGCCTTCTTTAGTGTATAGCAAGTTAGCTCTATAGTTCTACACTGCTAACGCCTTTCTGTTACCTTAGAGCTAAGAAGAGTGTTTTACGCAGTAACCTAGCTCCTTTGCCTTTAGCTTTTTACTAGTAAGCTATATATTATTCTACTTTATTAAAAATATAACTCTTAGATTAAGAAAAGAATCTCTAGAGTGTTCTTTTACATAAAAATTATATATAAGAGCTAAAGAGCTATTATAGAATAAAAACTCTAATAATAATAATTATAACTTCTCTAGGCAACAAAAACAAGTGTAATAGATTATGTTACTACCTTAGGTTAACTAAGAGCTTTAAGAGCTCTGCAACTAGCTAGTGCTCTGTGTAGAGGCTTGTTAACTAAGAAAATTACACATAGTTAACATAATATTAAGATATAGAAAGATTTAGCAGTGTTAATTTAAGTAGAAAACACTGCACTTAGGTTATTAGGTAATCTTACCCCCTAATTAACAACTAGCTTATTAAAAAACTTGTCTAACAGTGCTACAGGTCCCTACCTATTAATGTCTAAGCTAATAGGCAATCCCTACCTAAAAGTTAAGCTTTTAAGACGCAGTACAGTCCGCAGCTATGACTTACAAGACAAAAGAAAACGTACAAGGACTATACTACGTTTGCTACGGCTCACGTGACAGTACTAAGACGAAAAGTATGAAACGTAATTCGTACGGTTGAGAGCGTTGTTCTCTTCAGCCTCGCTTTCTGCCCACCTTTATTTTTATCAACTACGAAAGATCTGTTTTCAGAAATCGAACTATGTCGTCCGTTCTCGCTGAACTGGAAAATTACTCCATATACGTTATCCTCAGCCTTCGAGGCGCCGAACCGGGTTTCCATTGGGGGATATTTGTCCCCACGAACAAGCCTCAGGGAGACGTATGGCATGCCGTCAATCGAACCGGTGGCTGGAGCCTGGAAATCAAAACAACCTCCGGCATTCCAACTTCCATAAGTCTTTGCCTTTGTTTCAAAGTCGGGACTGTCAATGCTGAGACCTGGGCTAAACTTAAGGATACTCTACAGCAAGTCCCAGGGAATGGCCAGCCGTCGCCCAATACGCAGGAGGCGTTCACATGCAGAGTCTGGGTCAAGGATGCTTTGCTTGCGCTTCACAATGCCGGTGTTATTCGTCTCACCAAGGCCATTGCAACTATCGAAGAGGAGGCAATTATGCAGGCGGAGGGTAACCGAGCCGGTGTCGAAGGGGGGACCAATGGTGCTATGGTTTGGAATCGGACGGGGTTTTCAACTACATCTTGAGTGAGGCTAGAGCTGGTTATCGCCTGTATTGATCTCTCGTCATCGTTTTGTATTGATTTCTCGTTATCGTTTTGTATTTAGTTGAAAATCTTCAACATCCATTCATTTTCTCTGGAGCCGGACCTAGCAGAACGGTTGCTCGATCGCTTGTCATCTTCGTTCGTCGTGTCCATACTGGCTTGGTGACGTCGCAAGCGAAGAAATATCTGACACTCGCGCCTTTTCGAAGTTTCTGACCGGCCGTAGTCGAGGGCGTCGCACATCCACCGCCGCGACAAGCCGTCTTCGTGGGCCTCAAGAATTTTCCAGGAGTCGACATGCTCCCACTCAGGCTGCTTGTCGAGAAGTGAATTGACTACGACATTGATTAGTGCTTGTTCAAATTAGAAGCAAAGATCACCTACCAGCTGTGAGGGAAGCCTCGAGAAACTCCTCGTACCTATGCTCATGCCAATTATCGCAGAGCTGGTATGACGTCGGAGGTCCGCTGCCACCTCAACCAAGGATAAAGTCCTCCTAAGCGCCAGGATTCAACACCGGAAACGGGGGCTGCAGTCATAGCAGAGTGCTCAAGATAAAGGCGGAAACCAGTGTGTCCAACCGTTAGTTACGGAGCCTTTTGGAGGCTGTATAGTACAGTTACGGAAGAGGAGGCTGTTACTAACTAACTGTACGGAGGAGATGACGTCAGTGTACGGTTAGGATGCAGTAACTGAAGTATATTGAAGTATTATGAAGTAATTGCGCTGAAGCTAAAGACTATACCCAATTAGGAAGTTGTGATACCCCTTGTGAGATCTACTGTTGTTGATCTTACTGTTTTAATGTACTCTGTAAGCTCAGTCAGCTCACTAGTAACAGCGTTGTTACGTAACTAATTCTTCTGCAGTTGAAGAGCCTCTATTGTTGACCGCGTTGTTGATTGGGATAGGAATTGGGACATTATAATGGGCAAAAGAATAACGTAGATGGCATAGTTGCTGAATTTGTTAGAAGATTGCTAACAAAACAGGCAATAACGGCATTCTCCGCATTAATCTCCGAACACGAGCCCCCTGGCCCTCAGCAACCTGCCTTCAACCGCCCAAAACCACCAAAAATCCTATATAACTACCGTAAACGGTTAGTACAGCAGCCTCATGTATAGTACAGTATACTGAGTAGATGCCCTGTACGTACGTACGTGACCAAAATCAGTGTACTGCAGTACTGTACTATTAGGTGTACTAACGGTTGGACACACTGGCGGAAACGCAGAACGGCTGAGTATCAACTTGGGATACAGACTACTACGTGCCTGGAATGTAGCGCCTATGGTGATGCTTGGCGGAGCTCTCGTTCAAGCACTACGAGCACCGGTGTAATGAGCGGTGTTAGAACGATTACAGCTGCGCCGCCTTTGTCTCCTCGTCTAACTTGACTTGCCAAAAGCTCCGAATCGAGGTCTACCTGCGCTGCGTTTCCCCGTGCTCTTGCTACCGAACGCTTTAGCAGGCACGGGCATGGTGTTTAATAGAACGTAGTACTGCTCCTACTGTTACTGATAGTAACAATCTCTTAGCAGTTAGAACAAAAGTGAATTGCCATCCGTTACTGTACAGTTAATGAGGCTATAGTTACTGCAGTAACTACCTATACTATCTATTGTTAGTACAGAACATTAAAGTAACTCCTTGCACTTAAAGCTTGCAGCTAGTTTAACACCTTACAAGCTTTTATTGTCTTAAGAAGTTAAAAGCTGCCTTTAAGAGCTCTTATAATTAAGGCTTTATCTTTTAGTGTTTTTATTCTTATAAGTTTTCTAAGGACTCTTGCCTTAAAAACAATAAGTAGGATAATATCTAGACTTGCAACCTTAAGCTAAAACCTAGGGGCCTTAGATATTGTGTGAAGAGCTTAACGCAACTATATTAGCAAGATTGTGTTAAAATTAAGCCCTCTAGAGCCCTTAGTAACACTAGTTACTGCAGTAACTACACTAAACAGTAACTTTACTATTAATTAACTTAGCAGTAACTGTTACTGCCTGTAAGGCTGTTTTACTTTACTCTTTCTGTAAGAACAAAACCCTATTGCCGCCAGTAACGCCTTAAAAACACTACTGACAGTAACAGTTACGTTCTATTAAATACCATGGGCACGGGTCCAGACTCAGCGCCGCTGCAAATCGCAGACAACGACTATGCTGATCTCGTTTTGGTCCCGCGGTGGCTGTTCGCCTGTTGCTGTGTTATCAGCATCCCATGGCCTCCCCGCTCCTCGCAATATTCCTGCTTTCTTCCTCAGAGGAGAGAGTTCTTAATCGCTTGGAGCAGTGAGTGGAGGGGCAAGCAAGAGAAAGAGTGTGACTTCTTTAATTCGGCGAAGAGATTCAACATCACCGCGGATAGTGCAGGGAATGTCTAAATACATGGAGGAAATGAGGTGGACCTCCTCAGCTTCTGCCTCGTAGACCTCTGAACCTTCACCTTTACTCCAGCGACCCTCTTTCCACGCTCTCGGGCTTCTATAAATTCCCTTATCGAAACCCGGTAATCCATTAATTCTTGCTTCGGTCTCACAATCTTCTTGTCTCCTTGCCCTCACACTCTCGTTTCATTCTTCCCTGCCCTGATATGGCCTATTCAGCAGCTGGAGGCTCTGGTGGCTGTCCTCCTCAAGTGGGCGCCGGACGTTTTTAAGCTCGCAAGAAAAGGCAAGCAGACTCGCTAGGGTTACGCCTAGTAGTAGAACTAGACATTGGCTGGGATCAAAGAAGCAAGCCATCTGTAACGCTCGATCGCAGAGAATGTGGAACGAGACAGACGCATTTTGGTGGAAATAGAGCAAGTTGTAGGTATAGGTTGCAGCGAGCTGCTGGTTGCCGTTGGACGGAATTTAACTCATCACGGTGACGACTGTAGACGTTCCTGAGCTTCTAAGGCTTATAAAACTGTGGGCCCAAATTTATAACCCAGGACAGATTTAAGGCCCCTCGCTAAAACTTCACAATTTTTAGTAGGTGCATCTGCGACTGCGCCGCAGCGGGTGAGCAAGAGTGAGCCAGGGTAAGCAAAGAGTGAGCTGAGCCAGGCCTGAGCCGACCTCAGCCACTGTCGCACGTGTCTCACGCGATATCATACCCATGCACTGCACTATTCACTCATTAGGCATAGCTCCTCTCTCGTACAGTATATAGTCAGCCCAGAGCTCTATCGAGCTCCTCAGACCTTACAATACACTCGTTCAATCCACCTTGTTTGGATCTCGCTCCCTTGTCGAGTCGTTTGCCATATGCCCCCTCCTCAGCTCATGCAAGAGCCACAGCGGCTTAGGGTCACGTGAACAGCGGGGGTCAGAGGGTGTGCACATTGGGGTGTTGTAACGATTTTATTATTCAGCTTTATTTTAGCCCCTACTCTCCAATATCTTAAAACAGGTAGTATAATATCCTAATGTGCACCCAAGCAATTTCCTTTCCAGTTCAGGAACCTGAGCGTATCCTGAGCCGAGACTGAGCGCATCTGAGCCGAGACGAGCAGCTCATTAGAACCCAGTTTTAGGCGTTATTTTCGAAAGGCTGCTAGATAAAGGATCGATTCAGGATCGAGACATAGATTAAGGGTGTATTCATGTTCTGGCAGGCCTACCACGAAGGCGCCATACTAGAAAGCATATCCTCCACCCGCAATTCATCGCGGTAACCAAGAAAATCCTGATCAATTACGTCCGCAGTCCACCGAATACTATATCGTGCTGAAAAATGTGCCTTAGTATATTCCCAATACTCAGGGTACCAGCCCGCGCACTCCCAATCAACTATTCCAGAAATCTTTCCATTCCCATCAACCAGGATATTCCTTAGGTTAAGATCTCCATGCGTGAAAACGATATCATGTTTCACACCATGTGACTTCGACGCTAGTTTCCGTGCATCTTCGTCCAGTGGAAGGTCTTCAGTCAAGTACTCGTTGAACTGCGTTTCATCTTGGAACCTAAGCTCTCTGCGTTGCGATTCGCCAATTCGCCAGTCTAAGATGCCTCCCCCCAGTGCATTGCATATCTGGAAACGCGATCCTGTGTTGTTGGGAATTTGCCGCATCTCAGCTATGTATTTCTTGAGATCCCGTGCGACGGAATGCAATTGTTCATCGGTCATGGTAGAGATCATTCGCCCAATTATCTCTCCGGGGATTCCAGTCATCAGGAGAAACGAAGAATCAGAGTATTGAATAGCATCGATTGCTCTTGGCGCAGGGACGTGGGTATACTTTTCAATCAGACGAAGTGATTGGGCTTCCGCTTGATGTTTCGGTGCCCAATCACTACTTGCCACCCGCAAATACAGATTAAAAGGAAGCCGATAAATCCTATCCGAGCCAGTGCGACCGTAGAGCCTATTTGAAATCCGGGCTAAGCGCTTGTAGGCAAACGCTCGAAAGAAGGCCGGTGTCTGAACCCAGACATACCGAAAGGCGTCAGGTATAGCTTGAAGGTACCATAGGTTCCAGAAGCTTTTGTTCGCCGGCGTTTTCATAGCAGCATTCGCGAATTCTCTACTACTCGGCCTATGTAGGGTGTTGGGGTTCCGCTTCATATATTCGAGTACTTCTAGCCACGCTAAAGCCTCTGCACACCGGTGATGCATTTCCAAAAGTTGCGTATTGGGAAGCGAGGCAAGTCCAACAGCGTTGTTTTCTAACGTTATAAAATGGAACGTGTCGACGTGAATAGATGGAATAAAATTCCTCGATTCCACAAAAAACCGAGCCTGACTAATTAGAATGGTAGAAGGGCCAATGAATGGGACCTTACCGAGTCGCCCGCAGCCACAGAGGAACTGCGCTTAAGAGAAAGCCTCCCGTTTCTGAAATGTTCGAAAATTCGTGTCGACAATAGGACCAACCGATCGGACTGATCTCGATCAGGAGAAAGAGAATCTTGGCCCATGAGTGATCGCAAATTTTGCAATTGCGACTCCCCTATAAATGCCGCAAATATACTGGAAAGCCTTTCCTGGGGTGGGGTTAGGGACGTAGGGGACGTAGGGCAGATACACTCACGTTGTTGACCATGTCACTATCACAGAAAAATGAAGGGGACAATACGTAGGCAAGCAGGAGGCCCCCGTCAAACTGCTTTTCCTTTTCAGCCTTGGAGACACAGCATCGTCCTCCATCTCTTTGCCATATGTTTTGCCTTAGTGTCTCCTTCAAATCCGTGCAAACAACAGGGCGTACTGTGGACAAAAGTTAGCGATTTTCAAGTGAAGTTGTTAGCGATGTACCTTTCTTAAGAAGACATATCCAGTCAGCTAAAAACTCCGACACTGCGACTGTATCTTGTCCAGAGACCTCGTCAAGGAAAAACTGGGATGCAATTTCTCGGTCGACGGCGTGCTGCACAAAGGCACTGAGAAGTGTTCGTTGAGGGTGTGCAAGCGACTCTGCAATTATAGAAAGCGCCCTGTATTCAGCGCAACTTTTGTTTTGGAAAAAGAGCTGAGAAGCAGATCCTGAAACATTACAAGGGGAGCCCATGGCAGGTGTTGATGTGATGGCAGGTGTTGATGTTTGATGTGATGGCGGCGTTAATCGATGAGCTGGCGCGTCTTTGCAGAACCTGCGCGCTATGCCAAAACAAATCTACCGTTCCTTGGCAGTCAATGCGCACCGTCAGTCAACGCTCGCGCGCGCAATCAAATATTACACTATCTCTACCGCCAAGTCCTCTCTCCTATTAGTCTAGATATAAGCTAGTTATTAATCTAATTAGTAGAAAATTAAATAACTAAAAAGCTTTATTATTCTATGTTTTTAAGCTTTAAGTAATTATTCTACTTTTTTATATACTTAATCTAGCCTTTTTTTTCCCTATTATAATTAAAGATAATATAGTTAGGGGTGTGAAAATTACTTTTACTGCGTAGTTTTTCTCTCTAAATATAATTAGCGCTGCTAAGACCTTCTAAGCAAAGCCTATTGCGGGCAAAAAGAGGGGTTTTAGAGGTGTCTTCCTAGTTAAGCAAAACAGCAGAGCAACTTTAGGCCTAGCTGCTATTTAAATAAAGGGACTTTAGCTCTAAATCTGCTTTAACTTATTTTAATTTTTTTAACTTAAATATTATCTACTTTAATACTTTTACAGCTTAAGTTAACCCTTTTTATTTTACTTTATAGTAATAATAAGTTACAGTAAGCTACTATGTTATAGTAAGTGTATTTATTTATTCTACATTCTCTACTAACCTCTACTTAGAATTATAAAGGCTTTAAGATTATACTTAATATAGTATTAGACTAACACTAAACGCTTTTAACTATTTTTTTTCTCTAGGCTATAAAGCTATACTAATTAACTCTAAATTAAAAGAATATTTACATACTATATACTATTCTATAAAAAGTAAGAGCTTAGAGGCGTTTTATAACTTAGAATAATAAGTTTAGATAAGTTAAATTCTTTTTTATGTAAAATTTTTTTTAGAGGTTTTTAGCCTAATTAAGTCTTTTTATAAACTTAATA